TATATATACAGTCTCTATTTTTTTTAAAGTGGCTCACAGGACCAAACTTTTCCATTCAGAGACTGACTCCTTGAAAGAGGGATTGGAAGTTAAGGGTTATCTTTGCAACAGTGTCTTCTCAGCAAGCACTGCAAATAGGCCTGAACATTTTGAGAGGATGCTTGGATGGACAGAGAGCAAGAGAGAGCAAGCGCATCTCTCTGCTCAACATTAGCAAGAAGCAAGGAGAAAGAGAACTACATACCTCCAGGATTAGGGCACAGGCAGCTGCTCAGCTCAAGTCGCTCATCCACCGGACCTTAGCACCAGCCTGGTTAAGGATCTCAAGAGCTCTGAGTCTTATCTTTCCAAGGGCTTCTGCAGACAAAGCTCCTGGAATTTTGTGCCAAAGCCTATCCTGAGCACTCCTCGATTAGGCTGAAAGCACAGGAAACTGGTCCCTTTACCTACAGGAACTGTACTGCCTCCCCACATGTGGCACAGATCCATGTTTCATAGCTCTCCATGATAACGGAGCATTTTCTTGATCAAGGCAAGAGAAGATGAGAGAGCGTGAGCAGATGCAATCTCCAAAATGGAGTGACAGAAGCCTCCCAGGGGCTACCCACTGCCTCCCCATGTCGGAAGTAACCTAATGCTGGTTAGTGGGCAGTTCCGATTCCCAGACGAAATGGGACATTTTCTCCATCTGAATTTAGCAAGAGGACTCGCCTCTTACACCCTCTGCAAAGCTTTCCCAAGCAGACACAAGGATAGTATGATGAAAGAGGGTTGCCATTCTGTTTTTTTCCCCACCACCCCCTCCAAGGGACATATTATACATAATGCAGCATGTATAGCTACAGCTATATACACATACACTTAAGCACAGAACATAGTTCAGAGCTTGATTTAACAAAGATCCCCTGGGGAGGGTGTCATACTGACAAGGCATAGCCCTTTAACAACTTGAAACAGTCTCTTTAAGTTTCTACCAAAATAAGGAAAAAGAAAAACAAACCAAACCAACCAACCCACAAACCTTCTGAATGATTAGTTTCAATATTCCAGAGTTTGATAAGGTACCAAGAACATTCCCGTGTGTGCATGTGTGTGTGTGTGCGCGCGTGCGCATGTGTCTGCATTCAAACATGAACAGAGGGTTGGTGGAGAAAGGTTGATGCAATTGATACTGAAGCGAGATATGGGGACTTCAGAGAACCTAAGCCAATTCTCATCCTCCTCTAGTTTCCCTTTGTTCAGATGTTTGTGGCACAGGTCTTTAAGTACCTTCACATCTCCTCAACCACCCCTCTGTATCTGATGCTGAGCATTTATGAGAGATGGATGAAGTTGTGCGAGTCTGTGTGTTTCTATAGTCCATGTTTACTTATTGTAAATACCATTTTTATACTTAACATCTATTATGTACGTGATTTGTATAATGTACTTTATTTCTGCTACAAGTAATTTCATGAAGTTTAAACTTAATCTAATTTTGAACAAAACAAAACAAAAAAAAAAGACCAACAAATGCAAAATGGGAAAAAGAGGACTTTGGAAATTCTAGGTCAAGCTGGTTTAAAACAAGCATTTACAGTTTCTTCCACCACAGTTACTGATGTGACTGTACAATGTTACAGGTGTGATACAAGCTTCATCAATGTCGAATTCCTCACTCTGGTCAAAAAAAATCTTAAATTTATTTAATAAAAGTTTTACTTGCTAAGTAACTGGGGTTTTACTTCATGTGTTAGTTGCACCTGCTTTTAGATAATGCTTACACTTGAAGACGATCACCAAAGGCCTGGGGCGAGGAAGGTCTGTTTCCATTCAGCAAGTCACCTCTGCAGTCAGTTAAAAAGCATTTCACAGGGGGATGGATGACAGAGCCCGAGTCCTACAGAATACAACCCTGCCTTACTCTGAACACCACATAGTGTCCTTGTATCTCTAAGAAGGGTGTCTGTGGATTTTTATTCCAGTCTTCAGCATATAATCTCCAAAATGCAAGTTTGTTATATTAGCCCAATTGCAATGAATGAGTTCAGCAGCCAAGCTCCAGCGGAGCTAAACACAAACCAGTCACAGCTCTTGTGTGCAGACACCAAACATCTTTTAAGAACTCCTGTGTACTCCACTCACACTTGGGAGAACAAAACTGGTTGTTCCTTCAACAGCACCTTGATGGAAATCGATCAGTCAAGAGCCAGAGCCCAGCCCATCTGGTGCTATGCACATAATCAGGAAAAGGGAAAACAAATGCACAGACTCCTCATCTCTGCCCTGAAGGTGAGGAACATGCTTGGGGTTGGTAGAGAACCAACTCCATTTGCCATGCCCATGGTTCAGCCCCCCCCTTCTATAAAAGCACCACTTTCCCTGGGACTTTCTTCTGCTTTGAAACCCCTATTTAATGGTGCGGGAGAAAAGCAGAATATGAGCAGAGAATGAAATCTAGGACTACCTCAATTTTTGGTGCCTCCTTGCCCCTGCACCAACAGAATTCTACAGTGACTGAGCCAAGGTGTATACTGCAAACTGTCACGAGAAGCAAGCAGGTGTGTGTTTTAGAAGGGGTGAGTTCAAACTCCAGAGTTTGTGAATTGCAGTGAGTTCTTATTTCCACACAGCTCCGTAGAAAGCTTTGTCATGTCAAAATCCAGTCAATGGCAAGGAGAGAGGAAAGAAAACACACAGCTGGTGCCTGTTCCTATAATGTGACTAAAATATACTTGCGACTGAAAGTGCCACACACCATTCCCAGTAAAAGGAATAAGAACTCAAGCTGCAGTGACATCTCTTGCAGGCACAAAAGTTTTTATATTTAGCTCAGAACAAGAGTGCACTTAGTCTAGCACCTAGCTGTCAGCAGAGCAAAGAAGGAGCGGGGCATGCAGTGACCCTTTCCCAGGAAGCCACCTCTCACCAGCTAGAAAGTACCCTTCAACCTGCTTTTTTTTCCTCTCCTTGGAGAAGACTAGTTATGATTGAAGAAAGATTGCGATTGGCAAGGCTCTGCACACTCCATTTTAGTTTTATATCCCCTAGACAAGCCTGTATTTTAAGCAATACTTGGCTGTTCCAATAAATTCCAAACCTGTTAACCGGTTCCTACAAAATGTTCAGCTGTCAAAGCTACTTAAAATTCCTTCAGGATTCATGCATTGCAGACAGGAACAACACACACCCATCCTCTCAGACACAAAGGAGCCCACATAAGGATCTTTTATCCATCCCCAGCCCAGAAGGATTCAAGCAGAGGCTGCTTTTTCTTAGCTGCTAGAACTTAAAAGCTATGACACATATACATAGGAATAACGTGTTAGGGAAGAACTCCCTCTACATTCTTTCTCCTGTTCAGTGCAGGAATCATCAACCCAACTTGGCATTTGCAGCAGGGAAGAGCTGATTTAACAGGTCCCATGCAGTCAGCAAATGTCTACCAACAGGCCTGTGCTCACAGAAGCCAGGTCACCAGCCTTCCTTCACAGAGGAAGCCTCAACATGTAACACCAACACATAAAAAAATAGTTTAATTAAAATTGTATTTATAGGAAGCAAGAAGGTTCACAGAATCCACAAAACAATGAAGCAGTGGAGCAGGATGACCCAGGAATGTATAGACATTCCAGGACATCCTGTACAGATAGAGGTTAAAGCTGGAACTAAGACTGGAGGCAATAAAAGCAGACAGGTGAGGCCGAAGGAGGGGAGATGGGTGGAGGGCTAAGACAGAGTGAACAGTAGGAAAGATCTCTGACAGGTAGAAATATCAGAACTATGGCTGATGCAGGATGAGAGAGAGAGACCAAGAAGAGTCTTATGAAAAGAGCTAATGTTACTTTGCCACCACTGCTGCCCTGCTCCTGCTTGACACCAATGGTTGAATGGGATGCTTAGTGGGACATGGGGAATGTGATTACAAGGGATGTAGGATGGGAGAGGAGACTGAGACTGGGCATCCCTTAAGGACTGCTGTAGTTATAGTAACTCTGTAAAACCTGGTCCCGGTCATGGGGGAACAAAACCCAGAGGCAGCATGTGTACTGCAGCCACCATGGGTAGAAAACCTCCTGCACCCGTGTGGCACCCCCCCAGATGATGGCGAGTGCAGCTTCAGGAGCAGGAGAAGCAGTTAGGTGCACTTTGCCCCTGGAAGGAAACAGTCAGAGGATCACTCAAAGCCAGTCAATCCTTGGTGTGCTTTTAACTGTGCAGACTGACTACCACAGGGTTCTGCATGCTCATGTTCCATGCTGAGGTGGACATGCACAACCCCCATGATGTACCCAAGCAGATGCAATCTTCTCATTAGTTTTCCTGCACATCCAAACAGATGCACACACCATTTTAAACACAGCTGTGGTGCATTTTTTTGCATGCTTTCAAGAAGAGACATGTTCCTGCAAACACACTCCCTCCCTGACTCCTACATCCTCCTCCAAATACACACCTGGTATTCTCTAATGCTGAGTCGGTATCAATCAGGCCCAGGATGCACAGTGTGATAGAGATGTTTCTCTTCTGCATGATGAGTTCATGGCGCAATGAGCTGAAGAATCCATCCAGTGCAAACTTGGTGGCAGAATAAGAAGTGGTGAAGGGAGTGGGTATTTTCCCTGAAAGGGAAAAGGAAAAAATGGAAAATACCAGGAAAGTGGCTGTAAGGAGGATGGTACCACGGAAAGGGATTCTGGGCAAAGAGAGAGGCTTTGTCATCCTGCATCAACCCATGTTCTGTTCAGGTGTGTTTCCCTCTATTTCTAGTCACGTGCAGGCACTTAGAAAATTATACCACTTTGTGTGAGCACATCCCAGCATGACAGCCACCACGTATGCGGATAAAGGGAGGAAATTTTTTTAACTTACACAGTAACCAGGTCACATGCTGGGCTAAAAAGCAGCCTTCCCCTCCACCATCACATGCAAACACATGGGCTGGGTCACATGCTGGTGCATCTGGCCGTGACATTTCCCTGACACGAAGGCACATTATGTCACAAGGCAGGGATAAGCCAGTCTGAACTTTTGTATGGTAATGCAGCTCCCTTAAGCACACACTGAAGACTTTCTCCTGCCTTTCCATCCCATACAGTGCAGATTAACTCAGCAGCCTGCTATTCAGGCTGGCCAAAGCCAGAAGGCCTTAGAGTGGCAGGATGATCTTAATGCTGTGTCAGAAATGCAGGAGAGATGGGTCTGGCTGTGAGGGACAGGAGCCAAAAAAGCAGATCTGGGCACATGGTGAGTGAAGAGCAAAGTTCCAAGGGAATGCAAAATGGTGCAACACAGAGAAGGTCTTCCAGAAAACAAGAAGGCCGGCCAGCTACCATCCTGCTTGCTACTATAAAATGCACAGCTTGAAAGTGTGTTGAGGGGTTGAAGGACACAGAGAAACATGATGTTCTGGGAACCATTGTTTCCACAAGGCCAGCACTTATGGCAGTTAAAGACAGTAACCTGTGAGGGAAGAAACAACCACCAGAGAGCCTTTATTCTTCTCCAGGGTGGGAAGAGCTGCTGTTGCGAGTGCCACATAACTGAAGAAATTCACCTGGAATGATAAAAGTAGACATGGAAGAAGCAAGAGGGTTTGGAGAGAAGGTCAGCATTAGCTAGAAAGTCAGTACAGTGGTCAGAAATGGAAAGGTGCATGGCTTGGATTTGCTTTTTCAAACACCAAGCAAAAAGAATCATCTCTGTGAAGATGGGGACAAACATTGCATCCATGAGTCATTCAGATTCCAGAAAAAGCAATGGAGACGAGTCAGAGCAAAGGTTATTCCTGGGCTTCAACATACAGATTTCTTGACAAGAGACAATTAGCTGTCCCTGATTTCTCTATATGCCATTCTTTACTCTGCAATCCATATGCAGCAACAAGGACAACAGCAGTGTCTCAATTTGCTCCCCTTTTAAGTTTCTCTTGACTGAGCTCAGACTACAACAAAGCATTACATTCAGCATCTCTTCTGAGCTTGACTGCTCTCTAACTTGTAAGAAATTTCTTACCTGTGATCCCAAGTTCCCTACTCTCCAGCAAACAGGTTCCTTCCAACATGAAACAGAATTAATATGGTCCTCCTGATCTAAGAAGACTGAATCAAGAAATCAGCTCTTCATCTCCATGGTCCCAAAACCTTGTATCAAGGTGATTCTATAGGAAAACTCTGAATCTGTGAGCAGAGATTCAAATGGCAAACACCATTTCGAACAACCTTATTGTGTTCTGCAATGACAGGTGCACTTGCTATAGATTAGTAGGAAGTGCTTGCCCCTCACCTATTGGTCTTCCTGAACTAGATATGCATTGCACAACTGCCTGTAACTACCCATAAATCCCTAACAGTTCTGGGCTAATGGGAGATAAGGTCAGAAGGAAGGAGAGAAGTTCTTCCCAGACGTTCCTCTGCACACATACACAACAACTGAGCAAAACACCTGTCTAGTAACAAAGCCTCCAAACCATTTGACTTGAAACATGAATGAAATAAAAGGTTTATTCTCAACCATTGCCATAGACTTAAATTTGCCTTTGAGCTTCCCAAAGCTGTCCCAGGAGAAGCCAGACTCACTCAACTCCAGGTGAGCTCTTTGAGCTGGGAAACCTCACCTGCATGAGCCAGCGGGTATATTCCACATCTCCAGCCCACATCTGGAAACGGGTCATGCCAATGTGGTTCAATACCAGGTAATCCAGTCCCCCTGTGGAAAGGAGAAAAAGCAGTCAAACAAAGGGGCCATCCTCTAACCAGTAACCAAGAACTCAGATATGCCAGCAGGGCTGAAGCAATCAGCCACTCCCTCAGAAGGCTAAAAAGTGCTTTACCATGAAGATACATGAAATATGTCCATCTGGGAGCAGCTTTGACTGCTCCTCAGGGGTAGAACTGGAAGGAAAGCTGTTGTTCTTTGACAGCAGCTCTCCGAAATGATGTTTCAGGGTAATGCAGACTTGGAACTCAGTTCTGGTTGTACACTCTGTTTTCAAAGTTATAAGTATAGAAATTTGTAAAAGAAAAATTATGATTGGTATGGGAACGTATCAGCAGAAACAGCAGATGGTTTAAAAGAAAGGTATGAATTGATGGCTCCTGGACTGGCAGGTCATCCAGATCACAGCACACTTATTTACACACAGTTTCTTAAGACACCCACATCAGGAAAACCAAGACCATAATGAAGTAATTAAGACACTCAAATAATGGACAAAAGGATACTGAGTATAATAGAAAATGCTGCCTAATGACAGTCTGACCGAAATGAGACAAGATGGAGAGGCAAAAGATCATAATCACTCAACTCCTACAGGGCACAAAAGACAATCAAAAAGCAGCACATGTTCACCAACCAAGAACCCAGAATACACGATGAAGACTCAACAGTGGGCATCCCTTGTCCTTTGTATCACCACAAGTAAGCTTGGCCAAGGTATTTGGTCATACACATCTTGTTGCTTGTGAGTGCTAAAGAATGAGTGAATGTGAATGCATGAGAGTGGGCGTAGTGTGAATCAATTCTGGTTAAAATGAGACCACCTTCCCCTTCTATACAGTCTTGGACTGAGCTTTGCTACAGGGGTGGGTCACTGCTTGCAGACCTCCCAGCTTCTGTCTCTCTCAACACAAGGCACTATGTTCAGAGTTGGGTGTGTGCAGCTTGTACCTGCTCACATATGGCAAATGTGTGTACATGTGGTACCCTGTGACAGGTGAGGTACTGTAGCTGTTGCTATGGGGTATAGTTTTAGTGAAGTACTGCAAGCAAGTACTTTCTGCATACTTTTCTCCTCTAGCAGAAGACATGCCTTCCCCATCAAAGGCAGGTAAAGAGATGGCCACATCCAGACTGGTATTTACAAAGCCCACACCCTCCCGTCCTAAACATCCCCCTCAGTGAGGAACATGGGGAAACTGAAGCAGGAATCTCCTACTGGAATGAGAACAGTCTATATACCTGAAAGCGAAAGAGACGCCCAAGGTGCTTACCTAGTTTTTGAACAGCAAACTGAACCACCTTTTCAGGCTCTGAAGGGGAAGACATATCTGCAGGGATATAAAATATTTTCTTTGCTCCAAGTGTCAGGCATTTCTCCACCACCTTGAAAAAGAACACACACCCAAAGATTAAACAATATGGAGTGGAGGGAAAAGAATGAAAATAAGGGCACTGTAAGGCACTGTTTTTTCCCCATACTACAGCCAGCGAGAGTCAATTCTGGACAGAGATACACTTTAATTTTAAATCTACTGCTATTCAGCCCATGGAGAGCTCATTTTGCATCCAGACTTTGTTTAAAGAGACAGTTAAATAGAGGTAACTCTTAGCAGGATGCAGAGTCCTCGGAAAAGCATCAAGATTCACCTGAAAAAAGAGAGTCTTCTTCAAGAGAACTCTTCTGGAATAAGGGTTATGCTTTACATTAAGTTTTTTTTTGTTGTTGTTCCAAAATACCCGGTAAGGCTCTAGCAGTATTCATCTTTCATAGTTCCTCTGCTATGTTGAGTATGTGAAGGTGCCCAGTAATGATACACAGTTTAGCAATTTGCTGAAACAATGCCTTCCAGGCATTAGGAACTATTCTTATGCTCACTGTCCCCAGCTCTCCTTTTGCACCATTTCATAGTAAAGAATTTTCCTTGCAAGTCACCTATCCCCACAGTTTAAGAGACACCTTCTCTAAATATTGTCCCATTTTATAAACTACAGATAAAGGAGTCTCATCGGTTCAGCCTGGTCAAAAATTATTTAACCTACAAAAAGGGTTTGAGTCTTTAACAAAACAGCTACAAATAGAACTGTTTGGACTCTGAAAAGCTGCACAATATCGCACAGGAATTGTAGTTCATAGAATCATAGAATATCTCGAGTTGGAAGGGACCCATAAGGATCATTGAGCCCAACTCCCTGCTCCTTGCAGGGCTACCTAAAACTAAACGATATGACTAAGAGCATCATCCAGATGCTCCTTGAACTCTGACAGGCTTGGTGCCGTGACCACTTCTCCCTGGAGAGCCTGTTCCAGTGACTGACCACCCTCTCAGTGAAGAACATTTTCCTAACGTCCAATCTGAACTTCCCCTGATGCAGCTTCATACCATTTCCTTGTGTAAATGTTCAGGCAGTAAAAAGTTCGGGGAGTGTATACGCATCTTCCCGTACAGGCCAAGCTCCCTTTTGGGTTACACCTCCCCAGTATGCAGTGTTACTCCCTTCTGGTAAGAAAAACTGGGCATATTGCAGCAGGCACTGGTGTATGGCAACACAAACTAGCCCATCCAGGAGATCAATTACAGAGAAGAATGGCACAGGATACTACCAGCAAATCAGGCTCAAAACATATCACTGGCATGTTCCATCTTTCTACATAAGTGGAAAGAATTTCGAAAGTAAAACTAAGCTGTTTTTGCTCAACAACAGTTCTGAAGGAAAATTTATCATGCTGCCAACTAATTTGTTGTTGTTGTTGTTTTTTTGGTAAAAGTCCAAATCTCTTATGTCTTCCCTCATACAAGGAAGTTCTTACCTTCTGCAATACAGCTTCCCTCCTAGCAGTCAAAACAATTTCAGCACCAAATCTGGCATAATGATATGCCATCTGCTCTCCAATCCCAGCACTGGCTCCAGTCAGGAGAACGCGGGCACCTGACAAGCTCTCTTATTTATGGGAAAAAGAATAAAAGATATAGAAGTAAGTGAAGGAAGCAGCAGAGGAGCTGCCCTTAACTATTGGCAGAGCTCTGAAGTAGAAAGGTGTGTGTAAGTAAGTGCTCAAAAGTCTTGATGCTTCTCCAAAACTAGAAGAGGCAGGACCAACCTGAAGAAGCCATGAGATTAACAGTACCCTCCAATTCTTGCTAGACTTAAAATAATCAAAAATCACCTAGTCTTTGAAGAATGAGCTATTTTTCCTTTCTGACAGGTGCCTACAACAAAAAGGTTAGTCATCAGCCACCTCATGTCAAGTAGCCAGCCATATTGATCTGTTTTGGCCTGGGTCACAGGAAAGCTTGGCTAGCTCAACAAGCTCCAGCACACAGCAGTCAGCTCAGCCTAGCTCCACTAACATGCAACAGCCAGTTCCCTTCTCCATCCTGAAAACCCCGAGGTTCATACTTCAGTCATGGAGCAGGAGGCTCAGTCTGACCCACTTCACTCAGCAGCTGCCGTGCTAGAAACCAAACAGCCAAGCCTTACCATTCCCATCCCTCCTCCCCAGCTCAGCATTCTTCCATGGAGCTGGATAATATGTAAAAGCATGCAGCCGTCATGGCTTAGTTGCCGTGGAACAACCCCCAGGCCCAACTGCCCAAGAAGTGCGTTGTTTTATTACTGCCTGTTTGTTGTGGGCATTATGCCTTGGCTATCACTGCCAGGGAAAAATGATATGATTATGCAAGCTAGCTGTATCACATGCCCTTTGCCTGAGTTCCTAGAGCAGTATCTTTCAAGGATGAAGTTGTTTTTCACATTATAAAAAAACAGGCTCTGGGCCTCCTGCTTTCTGCATATCATTTATTCTTTGCCATCTGTTTGGAGATGTCAGCCCTCTCGTGCTGGGCACTGCACATCTATAGAGAGAGATGGTTCTTGACCCCAAGGAGTTTGCAATCAAAACAAAAAAAGAGAAAGGCAGTGGCAAAGTACATGTAATTTTTTCCCCACAGAGACAGCATGATCCTTTGTAAATGCTGTTAGACCATTTTGTTGTCTTCTTTGTTTCAAGCTTCTCTTTATTTCTGGGAATGAAGCATTGCTTTGGGGCCACCAACTCTCGTAAGACAGGACAGGTAAGGGCAGGAGTGAGACCACCAGTCAGAGTTTGCAAAATCAACCTCTTCTCTTACATGACGTATGTTCCAGTTTGGAATGACCCCCCTGGTGAGCCTACCTGGGTTAAAAGGGTCTTTCCAGAAGAAAGCTAGCAGCCCAGCTACGATCGCTGCAGCACAAAGCACTTTTCCAACTGGCTTCATATCCCTCCAAGCTGTGAAGAACAAAGTGAAGTCTTAAAGCTGAGCACTCCAGCCAAAATACTTGTAATTTCCTTCCTCTGATGCTGGAAGCCAACCTGCAAGAGGCATGTAAAGTCCTTTTCTCTCCTGCATATAAAAGAGAGGTGCTGTGTAGAACTGAGACTCCACCTGAGAAGTCTCTCCACTGGGAGCCAAAGAAGTCACCTTTGTCAAGAATGAAAGATAGGGATGACATTGACAATCAACACTGATACAAAGCTGCAAAGAAGTTGCCATTTCCCTGTTGAAGGGAGGGAACACCACAGTCCTTCGAATGGTTTGCATTTGCCCAAGAAAGGTTAGGGCTTGGCTGTGCCAGGCAGTGCAACTCCCTGTTCAGAGGAAGTAACCTTGGCAGGATGAAAAATGTAAAGCTGCAGGCCTGAAGACAATGAAACCTGTTCTCATACAGGAGGAAGGGATCTGAAGAGGTCAGAAAACAGGTCTGGAGAAAGCTCAAGAAATCATCTCAACTATCTTCCTGCCTTGCTCAACTACTGTTTTCTCAGCCTTTCATTTGCACCAGGACAGCTGGTCTGGCATTCAGTCTGTCTTAAATGAACTGGACTGGGGTAATTATTTTTAAAATATCTGTTCCTACTGGAACACTCCACAGAAACTTGTGGAGTCGGCACCAATTCCTCATTTAAACCTGTGGCAGGTGCACCTGCCCTGATAAAGACGGGGGCTTCCCGATTGTTGAAACATAGCAGCTGCTGATTCTTGTCGCGCCCTTATTGCCCTGCTGTGGCTGTTGTCACGTACACAGTGGCCGGCGAGATGGAGCCCTCGCCCAAGAGGAGCTGACCTGGCCACAGGTCAAATTCGACCAGGGTATAAATGGGGTCCCGCCGGGGGGGGCAAATGGAGTCAGCCCTCCTCGGGGCAGCAGGTCTGCAGTTTGGGACTCTCCCCTTGGGTTGGGACGCTGCCCAAGGTAACTCCTCGAGGTTGAGAGCCCTCGCCTCATTAGGTGTGTGATTGTGCATCTTGAGTCATTGTTCTAAAGCTTAGGAATTCTTAAGTCGGCTGTGTAGTATTGAGTCTGGTTGGCATGCTGAACCTGTCGTTTACTAATGTTCGTCAGAGTACCAAAACACTTTTGATTAGGATAAATCTTATTTTGGGTTACATCACCTGCCTAATTTGACTTTGTGCACCTCTGCGACAAAACCATGACTTGAAAGTCTAATTTTACAGTAAAAGGCTTCTGTATTTTTGTATTGCTGCATTCTATTTCAGATTCTTACAGATATATTTGATGTAAAAATACATCAAATCTGAAAAGCAAAATTAATTGAACTATTATCTTTTCCAAAGTAATATATTATCTGCAGCTGTCAACAAAAATTTAAAACGGATATGAAATTGTGCTGACAAATTACATTTAGATGTGCTTTTCCATGCTCTGGGAATTATACATGCCTGCCATATGTAAAATGGTGCACAAGGCAGGGAAAAAGGTGAGGGATTTATTGCTGTACTTCTCCTTCTTTAAAACTTGTCCTGCAAAAGGAAAATTCAAAACTTAAGTCAGTATTGAAACTTACTGATACTAATAGCATTCACTTACCAAGCTGACCATCACTAGCCAGTACTATTCCTCTGTATTTCCTGAGTTTTTCTGTATTCACAAATTCTTTAGTAGCCAGAAGCAGTTAGATACAGTGAATATAGGAGGAATTAAAAAAGAAATTTTGCAGTAGTTCCAGAAGCTGTCTTCTGCAAAATTCACTTCGTCAACTTCCACAGTTCTTCAAACATGTTTAAAACTAGCTTTTTTGGGGGGGGCAGCATATCAGGATATGGCTAATAGTGAAATAATGAAATTAACAGTCTTACCCAGGGTACAGAGATGATCATGGACAGAAGTCTTTGCAGGATTGGGGAAGATAAAAGGGGAAAATGGGAACAAGTATGAACTTCAGTAGCTGGAAGGTTCTGAGATAATATAGTAGATATTCTTGAAGTTCAGAAGTTAGCAGGTAGATTTGGAACTCAAGGATTTTCCGTTAAAAGCATAATGTGATTTGACAACACAACACATTTTCTATTTCTATTCATTGTATCTATTTCTACTCCACTATTATGAACATGTATATCAGCAGTTCAGACCATCTAATATTTGCTTAAAGGTGGATAAAACAAGAAACACATTCTGTTCTGAACCTGTCTGGATTTTCTTAGGATTAAGAAAAACGTGACAAAGAGATGCTCGCACCGAGAATTGCGAAGGTTTCCGAACACGACAGGCACCCACAGCAAGAGCTGGCCTTGTTTTGGCCAAATTTTATGTAAGCATGTACAAAGACTAAAAGGTTAGGGGCTCTATTAATTAAAAAAAAAAAAAAAAAAAAAA